AGCGGCCATGCTGTCGACAAGTCGATCGTTCCCGTCCTTTGGAGCTCGTCGTCCATTGGCACCTTCTTTTACCTCTCTTCGCACTTTTGCTCCCTCTCTCTCTCTCTCTCTCTCATTCTCTCCTCTCTCTCCCTCCCTCTCTCTCTTCCTACTTAAGCTCGTGTTACAGTGTTCCTCGGTACGATGCGAGCATAACGCGACGATAACCGGCTCTATTTCTGCCTACGATGGTAGATGCTCTTGTGATTGTTCAGACTGTTGAGCGTCCTGAACACCTTGTGGCAGAGCGCGCAGACCGCCTTGTTCAGGGGCTGAAAGTGCTGCTGCTCTTTGTGCCGTTTGAGGGTGAGCTTCGTGGAAAGGAGTTTACCGCAAACGTCGCAGGTATAGCAGACACCCGGGGGTAGCAGGCTGCCGTGTACCGGGTGGGACAATCTCATCGCGAGAATCGCTGACGGTGGACCTGCTATCCAGCCACCATTTGTTTTTTTTTTTTTTCATTTCAATTCGCGACACAGAATTGAGGGAAACGATATGAATACAGCAAGGTTAGACAAATTGGCGATTAAAGATTAGATTTATACAGAGACAGAGAAAGAGAGAGAGAGAGTGCGAAAAGAAAGCAGAAATGTTAATCAAATGAGAGAGAATATTTCGTTTGATGCAGAGAAAAGGAAGGTTGAGAAAAGAATGAACGAATAAAATAGTAGTAGTAGTAGTAGTAATGAAGAGTTACGAAGAATTTAAAGAGAGATACAGAGACAGAGAGAAAGAGAAAGAGAGAGAGAGAGAGACCAAGCACCAATGTCCGTTATAATTATATCGACACCCAATTAAAAAGAAAAGATATTTTTCCGTTACGAACCAATATTTGTGGCGTAGGAGGAGGCACACGGAGAGCCACGTGTGTGGATGGACCCCCAGCGCAAATCCGTGTTCGTGAAGGTAGCGGGTAGGTACACACAGAACAATGACGAACCAGAGCCGAACGTATAGCCGAGCGAGCGGGACCGGGAACAAACAAGAACAAAGATACGACTGCCATTAATATCACTGGACAAGATTAGTGTACGCTGATGGTATTCTTCAAATGCGCAGGGCCGGGGATTTTTTTTTTGATATGAATGAATATTAGGGCGTGGTAGTGTGTGCGTGACAGGGCTAAATGCGGAATTCATTGACTCTTAAATAGGGTCGGGGAGAAAGGTGAGAAAGGAAAAGGTAAAGCGATTAACGCCGTGGTTCGGGCTACTTAAAGGGTGGCGAATGGTTGGATACATGATAAGGAGGAGATACAGATGCGTCGTGGGGCCGCCGATTGCCCGTGGTGGCAGCTGTTCTCGGGGTCGTTCAACCCCCGGCCACGAGAACCTTTTCCTTAATTCTTTTCTTTTTTTTTTTTCTTTCTTTCCTTTCAATTGCGGCCGCTCGATTATTCTTTTTCCCTTTTTCTCTTGTTGGCGATCTGAAAATCGCGCAACCGATCGCAGAGAGAAAGGTGGCTCGGGGCTCTGGTTTGTCATTGACCGGTTAAGGTAAACGCGACGATCGAGGATCGTCTGCACCGGAAGTGAGGATTCTCTCGGCGAATCTTTCGTTATATCGATGCGCGTGCACGTTCCAGCGCGGCCCTGAGCCGTGACTGAGTACACGAGGTCTCCGCTGCATTCTACGAAGTGATTTTTCATTCCCGCTCGTAACATTCCTTTCCTGTACGCTTTCAATGGCTATAGAGGCCGCGAGACAATCGAGCATAGTTAAGTACCAGCTACGAAACGCGTTCATTTACAACGGACACATACGAGTATATCGAGGAATGCAACGGAGAGGTTTCGTGTTTCGTTGCCGCGCGGAGAAAGCGAACGGAACGACGAACACACGAGGAACAACGAAAGCTCGTTCATGGCGCGTAATACGAGGTCGCGAAAGAACTTCCGTTTTTCCACGAGGAAAGGGGGGAAAGGATAGAGAGAAGAAAGAGAGACGACGCTTAGCGTCCTCAGAGGTGGCGCATAACGGCGTATTCACGAGACGGTCTGACCCTCGGTGCCTTGGAGCGTGAAACGCGTACCCATTGACTCGGGGAACGGACATAGGAGGCACCTCGGGCGAATATACGTGTCACGGGGTCTGGGGCTTACGTTGCGTTATAAGTGTATACCGACCGGGGTTATGCGCGCGTGTATGTGGGTCGGCCGGAAGCGCACGCAGAGCAACGAGGTGTAACGCGGTCGAACGCACAACCGGGGAAAAAGAAGAGAAAATGCAAAAAAACGTGTACGACTATTGCATAATACTGTTAACGTCGAAGGTTAACGCAACGCGGCACCGCAACGTTACCCGCGCGTGCACCTTTCTCCGAGTTACTCTTAGTGAAAAATAAAGCAGAGTGGCTGGCTCTCTCTCAGCGTACAAAAGAAACATTTTATTCAGATGTATATAGATAGGTATATATATATGTATATATATCGTCGACATATATATATATATATGTATGTATGTATAAATAATCAGCGATAAATCGTTGGAATAATATCAATACAATAATAATAATAATCATTATAATTGCAACAGTAATAAAGATAACCATCGATTATCGATATTAGCTTCGTTCTGATAATCTGATAAAGAATAGTAACGAAACGAGAAAACAAGGATACGATAAGCGTATACGTGCATGAGTACTATTTGACGTACGCTATCCCCCGAAACCCCGATAAGAAAAAAATAATGTAATAATTAAAAATAAAATAAAAAAAAAGAACGTAAGAAGAAGAAGAAACGACGATATATTAGAGATAAGAAGAAAAAATTAAAAAAAAAAAAAAAAACGGAGAACAGAGTGTGTATATAACATCGTAATATGTATGTGCGTGTGTGTACGTATTTATAAACTTCTTCTCTATATACTTATGTCATTACGTTCGTATCGATAAATTCATATATAAAAGAGACTTTCTTATTTACACAAAGTACGTACGCACGCGCGCTCTAACACCGTCTATTTTCGGTCGAACAGATTTTTTATGTACATTCTGCGTATAGGCGACGCTCTCTCATCGTCAAGAACATTCTGCCGCTCTCGATGCAGATATTATTTTCGCGCGTGTGCCTCGATTCCTCTCCTCGAGAGACGAGGACGAAAGGAGAAAAGAACCGCGACGATACAGCTATCACAATTTCTCGCCACGATATCGCAATCGCAAAAGGTAACCATAGTTAGAAGTATGCCGACGACAAGCACAACATGTGATCGTCGAAATGAAAGAGTACAAAAATTTAAAAAAAAAATAAAAAACAAGAAGACGTAACTTATAAAAAGATAAACGAAACGCGCACCGCGAAAAAAAAAGAAGAAAAATGTTGCGAGCCAACGAGCAGTCGATGAAACGCGTCTCGAACATGGAATAAATTAGAATTAATGCTAAACTGTAGCGCGAATGATGCCGCCGTTGAGCCAATCGAAATCGGTCGAGCCGAATGTAACCGCTAATTTAGCAATCGACGTTGATTGTCTCGACGAAATTGTTCTCCGTGGCCGATTACGCGCGGTTGCATACGATGCTCGGCACGCAATATCGTCCTCGTTATTTCCGGCATCGTATCTACCATTTCCGAAAATTCAACGGCGTCCCCCGCTGGAGAAGGAAGGAAACGAACGTTTCGGTATACAATTGCACCATTTCCCGCAAAGAATCAACGGTATTAAGTAATTCTTTTTTCGTGTTTTCTTTTTTTTTTTTCTTTTCTTTGGCTGCGCACCTCAAGGTACCTACGCTACGCGCGTTTCGCCGCTCTCTGGTTTGCGAGAAGAAGGACAGGTAAGAACGACGTGTGTGAACGGAGCATAACGAAGCAAGGTCGTTCGTTGCTGTTCTCCGGTCCCAGAGTTTCTTCTCGCGTTGTTCGAGCGTTGGACGGGAAATAAAGGAAGGTAAAAAGACGGGAAAGCGGGAATCTAAATCGCGCGTCTGTAGTATACCTCGCCGACGTTCTACACGTAGGAAGCAAACGAAGAGCGACGATTAACTTAGGTACGTTATGATATAGTTTATTTCTCATGTTTTGTACTGCGACTTTTTCCACGTAAAACACACCGTGCCAAGCGGTACCCGCGCGACTACCCCTCGATAACCACCCTTCGTGAAACGAGTGATACAAAAATAACAGGGAACGTTGCCTTTATTCCTTTACCATTTTCTCTTGTCCTTTACTTTTCTCACGAGAGCGAAACGGTTAAATAAAATAATGGTCGTTCTAAGCAAGGAGAGCTTCCAGTCGCGAATGCAAGTCCTGACATTCCGAAATTCCTACCTATTTACACTCAACGCAACATATAATATATGTGTATATATAATATCTCTCTCTCTTTGTAACCTTAGTAGAAAAATTAAACTTTCCGAGCACGTCGTTTTTTCCTTCTTTCTTTCTTTTTTCAATGTTTTCTTTTTCCACCATTTTTTTTTTCGTGTTTTTTTTTCTTTTTTTCTTAATATCTTAACTCCGCTCGAACGGAAACATGAAAAACTATAATAATAATTAATAACAGTATCGCCTACTATCACATGTTCATTCTCGATCAATCCGAATTCAAAGATGGGCATATTATCATTCCTCCCCGGGGGGGGTGGGAAGTTAACCAGGAAGAGTCCAGCTTCGTGGAGGGATAAATGCGACGATCCCCGCGGTAACACGTTGGAGAACGTATGCGAAAAACCGGCAGCCTATAATCCGTACGACGACGTAAGTATCTCGCAAGTGAAAGAAAGAGGACGTGTGGAAACCGATTCATAGAAGTCCGACCAGTGGTGTGTTAAAAAGGAGATTCTTTCACGATTCGTCTACGACGTGTATTCCTCCTCGTTTCGTTTTCTCGTTCGCAAATATACCGTTCTCGATCTCTATGAGAGTTCAAGGATGAAGAAATTTCGTTTGGGAAATTTCGTCGAATCCTCGTATCTCTCCCGAACACGACCGATCGATCTTCGCCTAAAACGATTTTATCCCAATCGTGACTGCTGCTGGTGCTGCTGGTGCTGCTGTTGATCCTGATGCTGTTGTTGCTGAGGTTGCTGTTGTTGCTCCTGTTGAGAATTTACTCTGTCCGTGTGTTCTCTCTGCTCTCTCGCCCGTTCGCGCATCTGTTCCCTCTCCCGTTCGCGCACCTGTTCCATCTCCTTCCGTTGCTGCTCCTGCTTGCTGTGTTGCCGATGATAGATGCTCTTGTGGTTCCGCAGGCTGTTCAGGCTCGAGTATACCCGCTTGCAGATGGTACAGATCGGTTCCTTGCTGGGCTTGGTGTGCACGTTCTGTATGTGCCGCCTCAACCGCGTTAGGGAGGTCAGGATTTTGTTGCAAGGCTCGCATCGAAACTCATCGGACGCGCCGCTGCCAGCCAACTGACCTGGCGGCAGAACCAGACACAGGGGTTACTTTTGGTTTTTTGTGTGTGCGTTGAACGTCAGGTCGTTCAGGACGTATGCGATCGGACATACGTTTAACGCTCTAGAGCTCTCCTCTCTCTAGTCACACCGTGTGTATCGCGTATCCCGCGATCCTCATTCGTGTTCTCACTCCACCATCTACCACCTTTTATTTTTTTTTTTTTTTTTATATGTATATATGTATTTTTTTTATTTACTGTTTTTGCCGAGCCGAGAGAGAGAGAGAGAGAAAGAGAGAGAATTCGTGCGCCCATTCATTGATTAGTCGCGCACGTTGCACCGTCACCCGACCAAGCCGTGCTCAAAACTGTCTTTTTTTGTTTGTTTTATGTTTGCTTTATTGTTTGCGTTACTTTGGAACCACGTAATTACGCTTGCAGGTGCTACCACACACACACACACAGAGAGAGCATCTTCGTCGTACGTCCATTCTACTTTTCATCCTTATTATTTATTGTTTTTGTTACACATTTACATATATCGGTACGGCGTCCCCCGTGCTTTCCGAGGAAAATACCTTCTGCGAGCCGTGTCTCACTGTCACCGTGTCTCTTTATATATATATATATATTTTTTTTTTCCGCTTTTGCTGCGACGCGTGCCTTCCGGCGCAAACTCCTCGAAGCAGCCGTCTCACCGTTCTCGTCTCGAAAACTTTCAACGGTTCGACTAGAGTTCAAAGATCCTTTTCTCGATGAAGTTACCGTAATATCGTGTCACGGTGGAACTGTGGAAAGATCTATAGCAGCAATGTTAATCACGTCACGATAGGAGATGACAACAGCCACGACACTGTCGTCGCAGAAGGCTCTTTTTCCAGATCGGAAGGCAGCAGCGTGTGCCGTACCCTTGTCTTTATTCACGATTCGCATCGTTGTGCTCTTTTTTTTTTTTTTTTTTATGCGACTTGACTTTTTAGCGTATTACGATAGTAGAGTGCAAGCAATTCCAAGATTCCAGTGAACGATCGTGAGCGATGACGTTAGTGTTTTCAGAGCACCAGAGATGTATCCATGTCGATGCGTATTATTTACAGCAAGACAGAGCAGAGTAGATCTTGTAGGTAATACGTGTGTGGAGCGAAGTATCGGTCGGTTTGGCCTTTTTTGTTTACACGATATAATTTTGCGAACGATCTCGAGTGGTAGTACACGCCTAATCGTGAGGGATCGAGGTTCCTCTATCGAGACCGCGTTGCAACCGCGGGTTGGTTATTTGTCAGAGATAACAAGTTTGTTTCATATTCCATCGAATCCTTCTTTATTTTCACAATTCATCTCTAACGACATTCACGCTATTTTCTAGCAACAATTACGTTTCACCTTAATCCGACTTAGCGTAAAACTACGGTTAGTGATTAGTTGTTCGTGCACCAGGTAGCTAAATCTCACTTAGTTTGACGGAAACGTATAGAAATACGGACGCTGCCGCGATCGCGTTCCAAGCATGAGAAAGGCATAGAGAGAAAGAGCGACGCGAGGGGAAAGAGCAGGCGGACGGAACGATACGAGAAACGATACGAAGAAACGAGTCTCTGAACCGTATCGGAACCGAAAAATTGTTTTCAAAGGTCCACCAGATAGATGGGTTATAGTCCAATCGACCGATAAATAGATTCGTCCTTGGTAACGGCGCTTTCTCGCGCGATACTAAACGCAGCTCGCGTTTCGCGTTCCAATACTCTGCCGGCAAAAATTCAAATCGGCTCCGGCTGGATCGAGAGGAAGCAGAAACACCACGACCCGAATCGATTCTATCGATGGGTATACAACGATACATAGCAGGCGGTGCTGATCGACGGGAAAACGCAACTACAGAGTTGACTTTATCTTCCGTAACGCGGGGTGAACTACCCCTCGTAGCTGGGGTGGATGAGGAAGAGCACAGACGTACCGGAGGAGAGAACCGTATCGATTTTCGCGCGGAAAGACACTCGAGCCATGAACTTGGCACAGGACTAGTCCAGATGGCGGAACTTATTCCTTCGTGAAGCAACAACGTTCATCGACAACTAACAGGGGCGGGGGAGGTAAAACGCTCTCTTTGGCTTCGATTTCGAGGTAATACGTTCTACAGCTCGATCAGGAGAGACTAGGCTTGTATATCTCGGTAACGCAACCGTTTCTCGCGGATGCAAAACGAAATGAAAAATATGCTAAGAAAAAGCTCGTGTTTTGTTGGTTGGTAAGGGCTATATATATATGTATATACAGAGAAATTAGCTAAAGACGTCTAATAAGGGGGTTTGGTTGGCGCCTTCTCATGCCGGGAAATGATAATCGCGGTATCCTCTCGGGTAGGTGTCCCCCTGGTAAACGGATGTGGCGCAGGGCAAGACGGAACCTCGACGCGAATTTCGGTCACTAAACCATGGGCGTCGGTCAATACGTGACCTCGCACTGTTCCTCGTGCTCCTTCCGTTCTTTCCTCGCGTGGTACTGGCTCTTGTGACTGACCAGGCTGTTCCTGGACTTGTAACTCCTGCCGCACTGGTCGCAGGAGAGCGACTGCGGTACGTAGAAGTGCGTGTCCGCCAGGTGCCTCTGAAGGGACCACGCGCGGGAGAATGTCTTCTGACAGAAGCTGCAGTACGTGCCGCTGATCGAGCGATTCGTGTACTTGAGCTCTTGCTCGCGAATCTTCGAGGTCGACTGGAGGTTCCCGTTCTGCGTTAGCCAGCGCAAATCAGCGAAGGGAACGGATTCGTTGGGCAACGTTCGTAGCTGCTGGTGTTGCCTGTTGTTCCCGTTACTCTGGCGAGCCTGTTGGCCGTTCGCGTTGTTCGTCGAGCCGCGATCCGACTGTAGATCAATCTGCTCGTTGAGCAAACAGGACTCGAACTCGTCTATCTTGGGCGACAGAGGTTCCGACTTGAGCACGATCTGCATCTGATCGTGAATGTCGTCTAAGAGATCGATAATGGGGAGGTCCTGGTGCTGTTGGCCGGCCTGCACCACCTCGCACTGACTAGCCCCTGTACTTTGGCTCGATTCGCCGATTTGCCGTTGTTGACTGTCTCCGTTGGTAGCGGACTGCCAACCCCCGTCCTCCTCGGCGACCTCCCGGTCTGCAACCAAAGAGGAGGGGGCTGAGTCCAGCGAGATGTCAACCGAGATTCGCGTGGATCAGTCTTACCACGCGGAAAAACCTCTCGCTAGCGCGTCGGAGAGAGAGAGAGAGAGAGAGAGAGATTGATACAAAAGAAGGGAGAAGGAGGAGGAGAATTTTTCCTCGCTTAAACGGATACTGTTAATCGTCCTCTGGTTAAAGAGAGTCGCGAGAGGAGAGAGTAGCGAAGACCGAGAGGGCGGCCGAAGAGTAAAGAGGAGGGAGAGAGAAAGTGTGAGGAGGGAAAATGGCATGGTAGGAGGGTTGAAAGGGGAGGGCCAGGAAGGTAGGGCGAGTGTACATTCATCGTCTCATAAAAGCCAGTATAACGTCCGCGAGGATGAGATGTCGATACAACGAGAGAGCAACGGTAGTAGCAAGAGTAAGAGTAAGAGCATAGGGAACATAACGGCGATGCTTCTTCTTTGCGGGATTTTACCCAGCCGGTTACCCTAGCAACGCAACCCCCCACGAACCACGCTCCTTCCCCCGTTTTTCCGTAGTGCCGGGAAGGGGATATATACCTAGGATGCGTATTATTCTTAATAACCCCCGTATGCCGTTGCGCTGTATTATGACTGATGTTGACTCTAAGCGCGGAGAGCCACGGCGATCGATAGCTCGCTACCACCGCGTGACTACGAGAGAGGGAGAGGCAGGGAGTAGTACGGGTACTAAGGGAGGGCCAAGGGGCTGTAAAGAAGAGAGAGAGAGAGGATAGGACCAGAGGGAACGGCGGGGAGAGAAAAATCTAAGTAGCTTCCGGATTGGTTACGCGAGTCTTACGAACTTTTGAAAGAGTTACGTGGACAGTGGTGGGGGGGACCAAGACGGGGGGCCTGCGAGGACGCCAGGAAGAACTACCCTCCCCTCTTCGACCGCGGCCCTCTTTCCGTCCGATGCGGTTGCGCGTTTCGCGAAATCACTGCGATCAAACGATAAGTCCTCGCGGATATCGGATCGTATTTAGTCACGGAGAGGATGAACGAGGGGGACGGAGAGATTTCGATTTTTTGCCAAACGCCGCTTTTAGAACGTTCTGTTCGTCGACGAATACGCGACACACACGCCTCAAGAGTAGCTCTACCGCACGCAACGAGGTTTTTCTTCCAACGCGACGAATTGCACGGAATGTTAATCGAACTCGGTGTACCGATAAGAGGAGAGAGGCGAAGAGAGGAGGAAACCAGCAGCACCAGGCCAATTTCTTTACGAGAGAGAGAGAGAGAGAGAGAGAGGCGTGCTCGCACGCTGCTGGGGACTAGCGGCGGGGCTCGAAACTAAAGTGCCTCAATGAATTAAGCACCGCAACCAAGTAGACCTTCACCTTGTCTCGAATCGTACACGCCTCTCGCAGAGATCGCGATTCGTCACGATACGCGTAAACGAGCCTCGCCAAATTCTCAATTCTCCGATAAAAATTCCTCCTCTCTCTCTTCTTGCGTAACTCGTTGAAATTCGTAAAAGAAAAGAAAAGAAAAGAAAAGGCAAT